TTGTTTCTATTTTCAATTTAAAATATGTTAAAAAAATGATCTTGTTAAATTCAAATTAATTATATATATGTATGTATATATATATATATATACATACATATATATAATTTATATATATATAACGGATAAGCAGCTGAAAATGGATGGATGGATGGATGGATGGATGGATGGATATATTAGCTACTATCAAGCTATTTTGGCTAACTCTATGCAAGTAGGTTGTGAAACCCTTTGGTAATTTCAGAACAGTTAACTTTATTTGGTTAACCTTTAGCTTTCTCTAGTGTTTCGGTCATGCTGTAGGTGAATTTTTGAGGTTCAGTCTTTTATTTTGTTTAATTAGACTTTTTTTTTTGCTAAGCTTGGCTAAGCTAACTGCTTGAAGCAGAGCAGTTCTCACCTGCAGCAACGGTGAAGTTTTGCCAAAGCCTTTCAAGTGTGACTCTGATCTAATCAGAAGTGAAGTAGGATGAAGTCATGCAGCTGATCCACTGAACATATGACCTTTGTGACCCACGCTCGCCGCACCTGACGGACCTGTTGGACGCGTGGCGATCAGGAACAGCTGCACTTCTCGTGCTTCGGCTCCTGCAGCGCAACTGTGGAATTTACCTTTGAACAGGGGCAGGTGAGGCCCAGGGCTTGACTGACAGGCAGTCAGGGAAATGGGACAGGGCAGACACCAAATCTGTCTGGAATGTGCGCGACACATGAACTTCTATTAGGAAACCGAACGAGGGCTAACTGTTACGGTAATGTCCCCCGTCTATCAGTGCTGTACGTATTTTCACCCTCTGGCCTCGGAGATAACGTCCAAGGGTATTATGTGTTATCTGTGTCTACAGTACGGCGGTCCTGTAGTTCAGACATTTACTGAAACCTGCTGGGTTTGAGGTCAGAGGTCATCATGTACACTCATGTCTAATAACTGTATTTACTTTGCTGCACGTCACTTTGTCTGGACTTGGACTGTAATTATTATCAGGAAATGGCAACAGGAGAACCCACAAAACTTTAACGCCAACTATATTTAAAAACAGTAAAGATTTATAAGGCCAGTTTCCATGTAGCTAAACCTAGCCTCAGGCTAACACCTGGTTGGCTAGGCTTGCTTTTCTTGACTTTAAAATCTGTTACAGGAAGCTGCTTGAATCGTTAAAACTAAGACAAACTGCCTAATTTTCATTCTTTAATTTTTAACACTTTTCCATCTTATACCATAGCCTAGTAAAGCTGTGAACGATTCAGGGAGGAGCGACTGCGCAGCTAAAACGTGCTCGTCAACAGGTGCCCGTCTCGTCGCCAACATTTAGTTTCTTATCTCTACAGAGTATTTGTCTGTTTACATCTTGGCTTTTATTCACGTTGTACCACTACACACCCGTGGACACGTCCCCTCATTCCTGCCAGATCTCATATTTATAAAAGCACATTCTGCTCTTCGTCCCGTATTGTTGTTCGCCCCCGATGTCTCGGCTGAGGACAGGATTAAATCTCTGAACTTTTACTGAACTACATGAATCCAGTTGAGCTGCATCTGTGTTGAAGGATGTCCCGAACCGATGGTGAAGGAACAGTGAACGTTTCCTTCATTCTGCTTCACGGCTCCGTCTAAGAAAAGCTCCTCACAAAGAGAACGTTCCAACGCTGTCAAACAAGCTGGAACAATGTCAGCGGGGTTATGTAATCTGATTCTGACTCCAGATTACTCTTTGACAAATGGTTAAATGATAATGATTACTTTCTTTTCTTTTTTCTTTTTCTAAAGGGCGGCATCCACATAAAAATGTTGCGGCGAATTTAACGAGGCTGAAAAACACAAATGTTGTTACAGAACTTCAAAAATAATGTACAATAGAACGTCCAGTTTGGGTCTGATGTGGGCTGTTGTTGTTGACAATAGATGGAAATGCTTAATTCCAGTCTTGACAGCGCATTGTACGATGAAATGCTTCTCACTGAGTATATAAAAGGGCTGAAACAAAGAGTCCAGACCAGTTTAGATCTTGGCAGCCGTCCTGTTCAAACAACAACACATTCTCTCAGCTCATTTTAATGTTGGAATAATCTTCAGAAGAATCAGGAAAATGGAGGGTTAACAAGAAACACGCATTAGATTATTTTTTTATTTTTTGCCTCATAATATTTCACATTGCACTTTTACTACTATAGATGCTATAGACAATGATAGTTTTAAAAAAAATAGATGCTACAGACAATGATAGTTTTTTGTAAAAATAATTTATGAGCCAGAAAAATCCAAATTTTATTACAGAATTTAAAATAATGCTCAACAGTTTTGACTTTTTATATGCTGGAAATAGATTGATTGAAAATGTTTGTCAGACTTGTGATTCAGCCTTAGTGCTGCGGGGCCATATTTTGCAATATATCTGCAATATATATATATATGCAATATAATTGATGTTTATTGCGCTGGTATTGATACTGTAAAATTTACAGCTAATCCCGTGTGACACCTGCACTAATGTTTCAGAGCTACAGTTCCAGTGACTGTTCCACTGGAACACATCAGTGCAGCCCTGTTATCTGATGACTTTTATGGCAGCGCCCGCTGCACTTTGACCCTTATCTTCAACAGTCACCACCTCAGCAGTCAGCGCTGCTACAGTTCAGCCTTCACACAAATGTCACCGTCATACGACCACACCAGGTACAGTCTGCGGCCTGGACCTGCACACAATGAAGAGTTTACCAGCACTGACAGGCTCCGGGGCCACGAACACAATGGCCGTCACCGTCGGAGTAGCACACCACTGTTTGAGAAACTCCCCCGGGGCACTAACTGGGGTCGTTAGTCTTTTCAATAGAACATAATGGCCCACAGCACAGCAAGGAATCTCCTGGACTGGAGAGGAATTTTTGGAGCTCGGGGGCCGAAACAATAGGAACATGAACGTGGAGCGTCTGGCAGGGCTGGTTTGACCTGGACTCCTGACGTCCCGCCCACGCCCTGCTCTACCTCCGCACGCCTTGTTTTCCAGCGGACTCCCTGGGCTGAGGCGCGTCATCTCACGAAAACCTTTTTTTTTTTCGTGTAGATTATCCAGAGGGTTTTTCTGAGTCACAGCCAGGCTCTGAGTGGAGAAGGTCTCCTGGAGTCAGGCTGGGCAGACGCTGCAGCGGTGGACGGAGACGGGCTCTGCTGCCTCAGGGATTCCAGCAGACGCTCAGACATGGATCTTCTCCAGGGTTCGCTTTTGATTTGTCATCACAGAGTGTGTGTGTGACACACTTTACAAAGAGCTGATTACAGGAATCCAGTGCAGGCATCTCTCAGCACTTCACCCCCCCATGACAGGAATATTCATGTGATTGTTCATTCCAACCTTTTTACAGAGTTCTTATTTATAAACCCTGAGTTACACTCAGCAGAGGGTCCAGTGGTTGGTGGTCCTCCGTCCTCGTCTCCTCGACACACTTGGAGAGAATGTTCAGAATGCAAAGAATTAATTCTCCACTTTCTATAATCAGCCACAGTTTTGTCTAAAACAAATTCTTCTCAGAGATTTTCAAACACACACTTACTCATTATGTATATACAAAGTGTGCATTGGGGTCGTAAATGCTCCAAAAATATGCACCAAAGTGACACTTGAAGTAATTATTTGCATATTTGCTTGAGGGGTGAACAGGTGTCCGGCTTCAAGGGTTTTTGTTTTTTTTTCTTTCCTATAAATGTTCTGGAGAAATGTGTGTGAAGAGACGGAGAAAAACATGGAGTTCTACAGTGTTCTGAGTTGTGTGTCTCACCCCAGTGGACGGTTCTGTCTGAGTTTGTAAATTCATTGTCAATAATGTACACACAGGTTAATATAAAAGTTGGCAGAGCTACATTGTATTTTACAGATATTTATATTTATATGATGAACAGGTTAGAAATATGTCTGAATGTTCAGTACAGTGTCCTTTTATGACCTTTCTGCAGTACCTTCACAGCCCACTTGGAGGTCACATCCAAAACCTCCCTCTTAATGTTAGTTTGTTTTTGTAATTATCAACCCGTAATGAAACACCAACATCACAGCTAAAAGTGTAAAAAAGGAAAATTAAATGAACTGTCACTGCCAAAAAGCTAATGCTAGCATGCTAACCTGAAGAAGTTGAGATAAAGCTGTGACAATGTAGCCTCCCATAACTACAAGGCCATGAAAATATTTAAACTGGTTCAGGGTCAGCTTTCACTAACAACAATGTATCTCTGATAAGTTTATCCTTTTTTTTTTGGTTTGGATTTTCTGACCTATATTTAGCTTCTTGAATCTAAGGTGCAAAAATATTTCCCTGAAATGAAACAGTGTAGAATATCTGAGAAAACATTCCAGCGGGCAGACGGACAGATATCCATCTGATTCCTGTGATGAGTTCAACAGGCGTATACGGTGAAATAGAAACAGTCGCTGCAGTTTTCACATCGACACATAGAGGGCGGATTTGTTTGTTTTCTTACCCTGTCTCTCCGGCATCCTTTTGGAAAAGAATTCAAGAGTGTCCATCAACATTCCCTTTAGGAGCCACTAAACACACACTGTTACCTTCATGCATCTCTTTCACACACACACACACACGAGGCTGATTTCACACACACACACACACAAGGCTGATGCTGAGAGGAACATGTGTGGACAGAAGCGTTACAGCTGTTGGCTTTGTCCATAAATCACTTTAAACAGCAAATTTCACCAGAGATCAATTTTAATAGGGTTCGTTTTTATTTCTTAATGCATATGCTTTTTAAAGATCACTTTCCATTGTCAACAGCAGTAAAAGAGCGGGAGTAAGATTTTATGTGGACAGTGACTCCAGGTGTACGACGAGTTGTTTTGCTCGACTGATCTTGGTTAGTTCAGTGGATGTTGTAATCCCGTCCTGAGGCGGAGGGACTTGAACTCAAACACTGAAGACTGAGTGACTACATCACTGGACCTTTTTGAAACAAACCAAACTGTTTTAACAAAACTTTTTTCTCTGTCTTTTAGCTCTACTGCTCCAGATCAGATGCTCCATCAAGAGGGGGGACACTTGGTCAGACACCCGGCGGACCCCCAGTGAGGTAAAGATTTAGGAGTATTGTTATATTTAAATTTATTTTACCACCAGATTGAAAAACAATTACAGCCTGACTGTTGTGAGTTGACTCACATATATTTCTAACACTGAGCCCGGGGCACAGATTTGTTTGCTTAATGGGCTGGATGAGGATAAAGGCTCCTCAGTCAATTTAAGATTCTGTTCTGCAGGTTCCAGCAGCTCACTGATGAGTGACAGGAGCATGTTTGACACGCACCACTAGATCAGAGTGAACACAGAAGGAAAAAACTCTGTCATGTTAAAAGATTGCAAAGTCTGACAAAGATGGCAAAGTCTGACAAATTGCTTATTTTTTTAATGATCATAAGTCATATTTTTATGCATATATGTTCATATGTGTTCAGAAGCCATTGTTACTTGGTTTTATACGGTTATTTTTATTTAAATGCAGTTACAACAGTTACATAATTGTTTTAAAGTTAAAAATTAATCCGTGAACAAGTAATAGTACAGTGCAGTAACACCGCCACAACGGAGGGGGCAGCACAGAATAGTACAGTACACGGTGTGCGGCAAGGCAGGTGGTTCTGAGCATGCGCAGAGTTCCAAGTTCAAAGTCAAGCGTGTGCAAGTTATCGAGTGTGTGCAAATAGCATCATCGAAAGGTAAAATAGTTTTTTTTGCGTTTTATTGCCAGGTTCTTAGCAAACAACTCTTACACTTGTGTACTTTTGGTAAACGTGTACGTAAATTACACAAAACGTGTGCAAAAATTATGGAAACGTTCTAAATAAACCAAGACAAACACTTAACTTAGCGCATAAGCTAACGTTAGCGCATAAGCTAACGTTAGCGCATAAGCTAACGTTAGCGCATAAGCTAACGCCAGCGCATGAGCTAACGCTAGCGCATGAGCTAACGTTAGCACATACGATAATGAGCTAACGCTAGCGCATGAGCTAACGCTAGCGCATAAGCTAACGCAAGCGCATGAGCTAACGCATGAGCTAGCAAACGTTTATGCCAAACAGCTACATGAATGTTTGCCGCTTGATGTTAATATGATAAATGTGTTAATATGATATAATGATATATATTTTTATATACAAAAGCAGCGTCTTTGCATTTGAAGGTTCGTGTTATTGCTGTAAACAAATCTTCGTGTAATGTTTCGAACAACTCACGAGCGCATCAGCAAACGTAGATTTATAACAATGAAATGTTGAATTGCTGAAATGTGTTATTTAGCGCTTTTTCATCAGTTTAAGGTTAAAATAGTTCATCTTAATCCTGATGTAAATGTTTGTTTGTTTTTGAACCAGGATAGAAAAGTATCGGGAGGAAGAAGACTGACAGACGGAAAATTCAACAAAAACGAGAAGAAGCTTCAAAAAGAGGTGAGAATTTGAACAAAAATTTCCAATAAAGTGTCTTTGTCCTTAGTTTAAA